GTTTAAAGTGCTTGGTGGACTGAAATTCCAATCTAAAAGTACAAAATTGTGTAATAAGGATGTGTTGGAGTACCATTAGCTGGCACTGCGGGTGCAATTCTGAAAATATTTGTACAGGGAAAGCCCCACAGCTGTGCAGGATAGGAACGCTGTAAATTAGAGTGTTTAAGTGTGTAACCACACAAAGACACTAAGCACTATTAAAAACATTTAGCCCCACTTTCATTTAAAAAATAGGTAAGCAAATATATTTTTTGTGGCGTTTTTTGCTGCAGGGACATGAACACTCATGCCTCTCTGACAGCTTGGAGGACTGGGGACAGGGCCTGCAGAAGATGCTCAGTGGCTTCCACCAACATCATACAAGGTGTTTCATAGAATCTCTATGCTGCTCTTCAGAAACGTGCTTACTACCACTGTCAATAAAACTGTGGAGGGATGGATGGTGGGGTGGCACCTGAATCCTGCCTACAGGACTACAGGCATGCTATTCAACAGCATGGCTTACTATAGCTCCCAAGCCAAGAGAAGAAATGCAAACTGACCACGCTAGGACAGATCTGCTTCAATGTCAGGAGTGGTTAGTTTGAAACTGCATCCAAGGGGAACAGGCAGGTATTCATCAAAAACATAGGCAATAAAAACTTTACAGGCGACATACACTGAGTGGCCAGATTATTATGACCACCCCATCAGTACTTCGTTGGGCCACGAGATTACTCCACGAGATGACTTCGTTGGGCTGTCTCGTGACTCCACGACATGTTGAAAGGTGATGCGAGGAATCTGACACTGCACTGTTGCCCTTCTGTTGTCTTGTACCAGTCTTGCCACTCTCCGTTCTGCCCTAACATTGACCAGTCGCTGACGGCCACAATTTGCATGTTCAGACCCAGTCCAGTCTTTAAACACTTTAACAACAGCTGCTCTTGAACATTTAACGAATTCTGCTGTTTTGCTGATACTCGCTCAATGGCTTGAGCGCCAACAATCATCCCAAGTTTAAAGGCTGTTAAATCGCGTTGTTTACCCATATCTTCAGAAAAAAATCACTTCTACTGTCGTGGTAAACAACCTGCTTCCCTATTTATAATGGTCTGGCCCTCTAGCAACTTCAGCACGAAATTACAGCTAATTATAGCTAATTTGCCTACAAACGTCAGGTGGTCATAATAATCTGGCCACTCAGTGTATAATATGAGCTATATGTATAGCGCATGTATGATTTGTATTTATTTAATGCACACAGCATAATATTTAATCTAATTTGATGTTGCTTCCCTGACCATGCTGAATAGAAAACTGGCCATACATGCAAATGATTGCACATGATACATTTATAATATAATTTACAGCACTAAAAGAGAAATACAATAAATATTGTGTACACCTATGCATGTGAAATATATTGCAAATTCTTCAAATCCAGCTTTTGTCATTTACACTCTTATAGGGTCGTATTGCTGTGGGATTAGTGGGTACTTCATGCTTTCAGTATATTTTACCAGGCCATAAAGTACCTATATAAGAAATTGCCAAGATCAATGATGTCACAAAGTTGTAGGCGTTAGGGGAAATTAAAGAGCTTGTCGCTCTGGTGCATAACCACAGCTGGAGCAAAGAAAAAATGAATCTTGTAATTCCCATCTTCGTGATAGTCATCATAATTCTTCACAATCCTGATTAAACCAAATGGTCACTGTTGCAAAATTGGCTTGAGGATTTCCATAATAAATTTAAAAATCGCAGGAAACCTAACTGGATTCAGATGTTTTCCAGCTTATTGGCAAAATGAAAGTGTGTTTTTTTTCCTATTTCCTTACATACATTATGGCAGTTGTGTTCTGCAGCCCATTTTGAAACAGTAAAGATTTTGTTGATACTGTTTTGGTGATTTTTTTTTTTTATTGCTTTTTTTTCTTTAAGATTTACAGTGTATTTAATATTTAACACACAGGTGTATGCTATTCTTTTCTATTAGTTTGCCAATGAAATGCTTAGATTATTTTTCCCCCAGCCTGTAAACCTTTTATTTTGAAGGAGAGTAAAGTCTTTCAAGCTGCACATATCTTCTCCTTTGGTTATTTAAATGGTTTTCTTGTTACTTCTACATTACCAGGCTTGGCTAAATAGAAGTAGAAAGAGAGACTGTTAAGAATTTGTTGCCAAATTAGTCCATAAAACTTTGTAAAAATAGATTTAATTAAAAAATATGGAGCATTGAAATCAAAGCACATGTTTTACACCAGTTTTCATTTCCTCTGGGCAACTTTTTCTCCCGTGGTTTCTTGTTGTGGGGCAGTAATTAATTTTTCAGTACTCCATACTTCACTGGCAGCTCTTTGATCTCTAATAGGCAGTTT